AAATGTATTTAGTACAGGGTCTATAGGGTCTCACTACATAGATTGGACTTGTAGTGATCTTCCTGTTTTCAGCTTCCCAAGCCCTGGGATTACAGGCACGCACCACCACATCCAGTCTCAGTCACCAGGGGAGGGGCCAGCATGGCATGCTGGGCATTGAGTCCCTGTCCCTGAGTCTGCCTAAACAGGAACTGTAATCTGCTGAGCTGTCTGGCCAGCCCAAGAGCAGAATATTTACTGGGGGAAAGAGAACTTCATGTCTGAGAGGAACAGAAAGGGGACCTGAGCCGGTTGCCCTGGGAACCTGTCTCTTCCAGGACTTTCATAGAGTAAAACCGTGTGATGAGGCAGGTCTAAGGTGGTGGAGAACATGGGAACTCGAGTAGGTGGGCATGAGATGAGACAAAAGTGTGGTCAACCAATGAGATTACAAGCACCATTGCTCAGGTAAAATTGATTAAAACCAGGACCAAATGGGAAAGTGAGTCACGCAGAAAGCAGGCATGAATCTAGAACAGGATTTCATCCAGTAGCTGCTAGCAGCTGGATTAGTGACTCTTCCTGGCTTCCTTAACAGGGCGATCAACCCCCAGTGCTTATCTTTAGGGAGGCGAGTATTTGTTCGATCTTTGGTCTTTAGGATTGACCTGCAGCGGGAGCATCGGTCTCTGTCACAGTTGCAGGGTATCTGGTCTTCTGTGCTGTCTCCTTGAGAACCTGGCCCTGTGTGACTGCCTGTGACATTTCTGTCCACTTCAGCTGCCCACAGCAATATCATAACCTCTAGAATGTCGTTGCCTTATAGGTTTTACACATCTATCAGCACATGAGAACCTGGAAGAGTAAATCAAATCTGACAGGTACAATAGATACTGTGAAAGGGAAAGAAACCGTGCAAAGGGAGGGGACAGCCAGGAGGAGGAGGAGGACAAAGGAAAGAAGGGAAAAAGGCGTGTTTATGTATATATGCAGGACATTCTGTATAATTGTACTGCTGATTTCTGCTGGTCTGTTGAGAGGAGCAGTTGACACTTAAAAGTTTTACTTTACTTTGTTCATTTTTTTTTCTTCTTTCTAATTTCGTATCTATCTACCAATTTTGCAGGTTTATAATCTGGTAACCTAAACAACTAATTTGAAGATGACGTTATACAATACAACATCCACTGTCGAATTCCTATTGCTTTGTTTAATGAAATTTTGTATAGTTTCAAATGGTTTTATTTTTACCATTTTGTATTCTTTAAAAAACAAAAAGATAAAAAAAGTAGAATAGTTATTCTGCACTTTAATAATTTAAAGACATTTGTGGGGCCAGCCAGATAGCTCAGCGGGCTAAAGCACCTGTTTAGGCAGAGTGCAGCAGCCGGGGCTTGATCCCCGGTGTGCCGTGCCGGCCCTCCCCCAAGGGTGCACTGAGATGGCGACTGAGACTGGGCGTGGTGGCTTGTGCCTTGTAATCCCAGCGCTTGGGTGGCTGGAAACAGGAAAATCACCATGAGTCCGATCTGTGGAGTGAGACCCTGTGGACCCTGCACTAAATACACACACACACACACACACACACACACACACACACACACACACACGAGAAAAAAAAGAAAGAAAAGAAAAAGAAAAAGAAAAAAAGAAAGAAATTTGTAATGATTACACTAGTGTTGCATTTTTTAAATTCGATATTTCTAAAAGAGGCCTGAGGGTAGAACCTAGTATTCCTCAAATTTGCATGAATAAGAATTTAATTTGCATGAACCACAGAATTATGACCACAGGATTGGCTTGTGAAATACAATTTGTGGCAGGGGGTAGGGGTTCTACCTCCGGAGTCGGTGGCACAGGGAGCCGGGGCTGTGCCTCCAGCCTTAGCCTTGTCAGTAAATTCTCGCATGGTGACGACGCTGGCCCCTGGAGCGCACCCGGAGAAGCACTGCCGTGCAGCCTGGCAGGGAGAGAGCAGGGGGGTCGCACATTTTCATCTGGGTTTAAGGTAGCAGCTTGAACCCATTCCTGGTGGCGCAGCACAAAAAGAGGAGTTTGCTGATGCCAAGATTGCCCGAGTCACCCATTTGACTTGGGGGAGGCTGTGGGTGCTAACTACCTGGCAGCACCTAATATTTAATTATGTACCTTTTCCAGGAAAAGCATAACAAAGGAGCAGATGAGTTCATTAAAAAAGATGATCATATAATTATAAAGTGAACCTAAACTTTTTCTCATACTGTAGATTCAAACTCCGTGAGTCTAGGAACCATGTCCTTTTTTTTTTTTTAGTACAGTAATGTATGTGGTGGGATCAAAACACAGGAAAAATTTAAAAATATTTATGACAATAAAAGACACGCTACCATTAAGACCCCCAAGACAATCCCTTGGGTTCAAACCCTTCTTCCACTGCTCCTGCCTCTTTCTGAAGAAGACCTGGACATGTTCGGTGACTTCACCAGGTGAGACTAAGAAATGTGGTAAATCTTGTTGGCTGAGCTGAGTGCCACCTGGAGGGAAGGCCAGATTATGCGGAATCGCAGTGCATCCTCATCTGCTTCGTTCACCAGACCTGGCACTGTGTAACTCCCACCAATTCTGCGAGGTGAAAAAGACCACGGAAGCTAAGCGAACCACGCAGGGCTCCGGGGCAACCACGGCCTGTACTCCTTCCCAGATAACGTTGTCACCCAGGCTTGCTTTAATGATGTCTCAGGGAACTGTGTTCATAGGCCAGGGAGTCAGGAAGAGAAGATTGCATAAAGTACACGAAATAGAAAACAATACAGAAAATGAATTTGTTCGCCTGTTTGGTCATTTGGGTTGTTACTGTATTTACCAACCTTGAGAATTAAAGTGACAGATATTCATGGAGTATTACTTACAATCCACAAATCTATAAGACCTATATTTTTAAATCCTTTCAAAAGGGCACACAGTTGGCTTATGGAAGTAAGAAAAGTGTATTCACCTCATAATGATGTTTCCTACTTTTCACAGTCTGTCTGTATCATAGTGCTAATGGTGGATATAAATATATCTGTTGGGTTTTTTGGCCTGGCAGAGGAGCAGAAGTAAAAGAGAGGAAAAGGCCTTTATTGCCATTGAGGAGGACACGGAGAGCATCCGAAGGACACGGGGGATCCTCTAACCGGAGACAATGGAAGGCTGAGACTATGGGGCAGAGTTTGAGGGACAGGTTTAGTGACATGTGAGGAGCTGATGGGGGCCTCCGTTGTGGCGCAGGAAAGGTGAAAGGAAGTTGTATCCAGGACTGGGATGGGGATGAAGGAGGAGGTGGTCATTGGAAAGAGAAGCTGTTGTTTTTGGGAGTCAGCCGTGTTGAATCAGGGCCATGATAATTTAGCAGTTCATCTCAGGCTGGACTATCTTGGTCCCAGAGAATATGGCCAGTGATGTGGTAGAATGGTTAGCGTAAGGCGTATACCAAGATCTATTACACAAAGCAAATTCTTACTAAGCTCTCAACTGTTGAAAGTAGAAGATCTCCACAGGATAAATATGTTGATTTCTCACTGTTGTTTAAGAAAAATATATTTTAACATTTGAATTGAAACAAGTTAAACACAATTTATTTATCATCCTTAAAAGCTTCAACAGTGTATGCAATGAAATGCATTTATTCAGCATTGTACAGAAAATCAGCCCAGATGCTGGTGGACACGTAGAAGCGGGGGCAGGAGATGACTTAGTCCTGGGTCTCTGCCCGCAGAGGTCCTGCTTGTACCCAGCATGCACTCCTTCCCTCTGCCATGCAATAAGCATCTCCATGTTGACACTACCATTTCTAAAATGCTGGGACAGAGATGCTATAAAAATGAATGTATATAAAAAGCCAAACAGGCATCCACAGTGACACAGAGTACATTTCCGTCTAAAGCTCTTCCGGTGGGAGGAGCTTCCACTTCACGGAAGGATCCAGCTCCTCTTCAAAATCATCCAGCTCCTGCTCTTTAGAGAGCTCCAGGAATACCTGAAAGGAGAAAAGAGAAAAGAAGAGAGACAGATGTCACCCGGCCCTCTGTAGCTCCAAGTGAGTGCAACACGCATACTCGTATGTTACACCTAGATTTTAGGGATGATGTGACATCACTGAAAGGGACTTACCTGCTCCAGAGTGGACTGGGAGAGGCTGTACTCCTCCAGGTCGAAGCTTTGTTTGACTGCACGAGGATGCAATACACTGTATTAGGAGCTTATATTTTTATATCTAGATGGTTTTGTAAGTCAACACATAATATTTATATAATATTCTTTTAAAGATCTTAAACATAGTGATTTATTTAAAAATATAGCAACGGTTACTTAGATTGGGAGAAGGGCTTGTGTAAGGCCCATGGGCTACACAGTTTTCTTTGTGTGTGTGTGTGTGTGTGTGTGTGTGGCCTGGGGGTGGGGCTGGCCCTGCATGTGGTGCTGAGGATGGAACCACAGTCCCTGCAGTTGCCTAAGCTTGCCTAAGCAGGTGCTTTAGACCACTGAGCTATCTCGTCGGCCCACTGTATAGTTTCTGAAACTTGGATTTAAGGGAAAACAAATGACGGTGGAGAAGCTTTCTCCTGTGTCCAGGAACCAGTGATTTTGCCTGTTCAACAAAAGAAGACTGGAAGACATATTTTCAAAAAGTTTGCATTTGGAGATTAGAGTGAGATATCTGAGGTCTTCCAGGGAGTGCTTGTGTTCATGGGCCTTGGTCTCCAAGCCAATTCTGCGAAATGGACCAAAAATCCCTTCTTGTCAACTACAGTGGACTGGGAAAGGTAGTTAGAATTTGGTTAGCAGCCCACAAGCTGGACTATGGAGCCTCAAGTATAAGGCCAGTGATGAGCTTGGTGCCAACCTGGAGAGCGTAGTCAATGACCACATGGTGCAGAAAGCTAGGTCTCAGCTCAGAATGGACAGGAGAAGCATCGCCAGCCCTGCAAAGGTGATGGGTAGGAGCCAGAAGGGTCCTCTTGGAACAAGGGACAAGCAGGAAAACTGTAACAGACCAGCGACAGTAAAAGCAGTGTATGAAGTAATTCTGATGAGCAGAACTCAGAGTAGCAGAGCTAACAAGCTGGTATGACAGGGGAAGGGCAGAACCCCAAGTGTACCAGACCCAAGAAAACTTTCTAGGGGCTGGGGAGATAGCTCAGTAGAATAAGCGCTTGCCTGGCAAGTGCAAGGGCCTGACTTCAATCCCTGGTTCCGAAAAATAAAAAAAATAAAAAAAAAAAGATTTTCAATGGTCACACTGAAGTCAGTTTCTTAGTATTCTGCCTCAGGCAATAAAGCAATACTTTGGTCCACAGAAAATTCAGTTTAATTAATTAATTAATTTTTTGTTTTGGTGGTACCAGGGATCGAACTCAGGACTTGTGCTTGCTAAGCAAGCATTTTTTCACTGAGCTATCTCCCTGGCCCCCAGAAAATTTAATTTTAAATAGATATAAAAATATATTTTTCTTAAATGCATACATAACCAAGTGTATGTGTGTGTGTGTGTATGTATGTGTGTGTGTGTTTAGGTTTTTACCCATTTATAAAAAATACGCCAAAAAAGAAAAAAAAAAAAAAGAAAAAAGGAATACCCTCCACAAAGCAAAAGTAAAAATCTCTCTGATTACCCTCTACACACACACACACACACACACACACACACACACACACGTCTCTTCAGCTCCTTGGTATTGCTCCTTCTAAAATTCAATCTGAAGCTCTATCATTTAGATGTAATGTATGATGTCACGTTTCATTGTTGTCCTGCAGGTCTATTATTCCATCCTTTGGAATTACCTTTGTTTCAAGATTTCATTCCAAAGCCACGTTTCTTACCCTTCTCTAATTTGAAGAAAGCTTGGCTTAAAGGCCGCACGTTTTCAACTGGCAACTTATACACCATCAGAGACGAATACCTGGGAGGAGAAGGGAGTGACAGCAGTCTTCTTAACATTTTAAAACTTGTGATGGAAAGTGTTTCATGTTAGATTGAGGCTCTTAACACATTTTAAGCGTATAATACATATTACTGGCCATGGCTGTAGTCTTCTACAGCAGATCTTTCAAGCCTATTCATCTTCTTAGTTGAAATTTCATGTCTGTAAGCAGCGACTCCTCCTGCGCCCAGCCTGCAGACCCTGGTGATCCCTGCTCCCCTTTTTGAGTTTTTGAATTTGACTCTTTTAGGTGCCTTCCAAATAAGTTCATGCAGTATTTGTCTCTGATCTATTTTATTTTTTTATATTAATTTTATTGAGAAAGAAGTAGCAATGAGACAGTTTCAAAACAGGTTAGTGGGACAGTTGCAATAATTAATACATTGCATATTGTTGTCTTCATAGTAGATATTCATAGTACAAGATGCAGACATGATAGCTTGTCTAAACACTATTAGTTCAAATCTTCTCATTGAACTAAGAGAAAGTAGCTGTATATCTTTGCTAACTATTTTGTATATACATATATATATATATTTTTTTTTTTCACTACAAAATGGTCTTTCATTTA